GGGGGGGGGGGGGGGGGGGGGGATTATAATCAGAGACAACGTTTCCTTGCAATTTTGCAATTTCTATTGGGCAATAGTACACTAGGGCGCAAAGTTATGGAGGAAAATCTTGAAGTGCATTAAAATTTTAAAATTCGCAAGAACGGATCGAGGCATAATTTGCAGAACTTGTTAATCTGCAAAAGTTTCAACGCGATAAATTTCTCGAGTTTTAATTTGAGACAAACGAACTCGTCGAGTTTCTTCCGATTTTAACAATAGAATCGTTATAATATCGTTTTATTTCTTTAGTGAGAACGATCGAGGAAAAAAAAAAACGAATTTTTCTGAAAAATTTAAATAATATAATAGATAAGAATATAATTGATAAACTACATAATTTTTCAAATCGTCCTTCGAACTATACGAGAACCGATTCGAACATTTCTAAACTACTTCGAACATAATTAATTAAAAACAATTTTAAATAATATAATAAAATTTTCTTATCCTCTTATAAAATATATACTTTTCCAAATCATTCCTTCTTTTAGGCTATACAAGGATCCCTAAATAACTTCTTCAAACCGGTTCAAACCCGACTAATCTAATCGAAATGACTGGAAATTTCCCAATATCCCTCCATTATCGTCGAGTAAGTCGAACGGTTACGTTAATGGCCGCGGCCTTGTCTTATCAGCCGGCCATTGTTCGCCGGCCAATTAAATCGAACGGAGGTTGGCTGTCTCGCGATTGTAACGCGCGGAATCGGCCCTTCGTCGAGGACTTCCGCCCGTTCAAACATCCTCGAGGAGTAAATCAACTCGTGAACGCGCGCGCGCGACTAGCTGGCAAGGGAATTAATTCGATTAGACGAGGCCTGATTTGACTGATTCCTCGGACTAATTTACCTCACTCTCCTGCTCCTCTCCTCGTCCTATCTCAACGTCATCGAGATAGATCGTAGATGATAACGAGCGTCTGAGATGGGCTCGTCGAGACTCGATCCATCCGACAGGAAATTTGTTGCACGTCCTGTAATATTCACCACGACGGATATTTGCAAGAGGATTGGAAATGTGTTGGAGAAACATATTATCGATGGAAATTTTATAGAGTTTTCTTCCTTAACGATTATTAATTAGCATTTTCGAATTTTGAGGATTTTAATTCTCGCGTTGATATGTATTCATCTGTCTATTTCTCTTGTTAGATATCTATTGAAATTAATCAATGTTAATTAATATTCACACATGAAACAAATTCAGCTCGTTCAAGTATATATGTATAATATATAATTTCTAAATGTAGCGTGAAGTTGGAATGAAGATGCTTTTAAAGCGATCGAAGCGCCACTAGCGATCGCTCGTATAAATAAAAGAGAACCTATCTTCTCGCAAATTTGTTACATGTCCTGTAATATTTAACACGTTTCGATGGGATATTTATAAGGTTAAAAGTGTGTTGGAGATGTAGTGTGATGTTGATCAGACGTGTTTGTGCAAATAGTTTCATAAGTACGTGGAAATTTGAAGGTAAATTTATAGAGTTTGGCTCTTTGATGATCGTTAATTATCCATATTTTAAATTCATTTTATTTTCTAAATTTAAGTAAAAATATGTAATCTAGCGTTAGATTACGTTCAGAATTAACGTGGTTGCAATAATGTGGAAAAAACGAAAAAGATCTTTCCTTGTCGAAAATTTATTACACATCCTATAATATTCGCTTGATATTTATGAGGTTGGAGACATAATATATTAAACATATATATTTGTGTATTATCGATGGAAACTTGAATAAAGATTATGAGAATTTTATAAAGTTTGCAAGCTTCTTGGTAATTAATTAGAAGATTAGATTAATCGAGAATCGTAGAACTTTTGGAATTATCTTCGCCCTATTTGGCACTTTGGGGATATTTTAATCTCTGTGTTACTATTCTAAATTTTATTATCTTACAATTAAGATTTAGATACATAGTTTATAATTTCTGAGTATAAGTTAAATTAGGTTAAAATTACCATAGTTAGACGATCGGAACGTTATCATTTACAAAAATAGAGACTGCACGATCATTCTTGCATTATTCACCATTCCGTAAACGTCAAAATTCTAATAATATATTTTCTTTTGATTCACCATTTTTATACATTTCTATCGATTTGGAAACTTTCGAATCGAAAAATTTCAATCCTGTCTTCCCTGATTGCAGGTATGTGACAAATTTATCAGCAATCTGTACCAGGAATGAGGTGCGTAAATTTCACCAAATCCCCATCAATACTCCGTTGACACGTTAGCCGAAAGGGAGAATCAAGTATTTCCGTAGCAAACTTAATTAATTTAAGTGAATACGCAATTTGGAAATTAATTAACGTTAAAGAGGAATCGTATGTAGTTTCCATGATAAAAACGAGATCTGCGTGTTCACTAAAAAGAAGTGCTATTTGTCAATATATTAGGCACACTGCATGACAGAAAAGGATAATGAGGTTCGCTTCATGATTAAAAGTAACTACATCGTGTTATAGAATAGAATTCCTTTATTTTAAATATTCAAAGGAAAACTTCTATAGTGTTTTTTTCAATAGAATATTCATGCATCTTCTCTGCTAATCACACGTAATATTATTATTGGTTGAGGTTAGGATAGAGATTAGAATAACAAAACGGGATTCCTTTGATTTAGAGGTTATAAATGCTGTAAAGTTTCATCATTCTATTTCACTTCATCTTTGACACTGTCTCAGCCAATAACTACAATGTGTGACGGCAAGAGAATAGATAAATACTCTAGCTAGTAATTTTCTAACAAAAGCACTGCATATGACAGAATACATCATATTTTACAACTTATATGTTACAATTTTATTTCTTGCGTACAAAAAAAATATTGTAAATAAATTTTTCAAAAGTTTTTCTATTTTTGTATCGTAAATTAGCATTTTTCATTAAAATTTTCATCTGAATTGCAGGAATTCGAAAAAATGGAGGTTAGGCAGAGAGATAGGACGTAGATGGACAATCAAACCAATTTTTCAAATTTTATCCTCCCATTCTTTGGTTGTCGCCTGATGATATCTACCGATCGATGTTAATTAACATTTGTACGTCTGAATCGGAGATAAACGAGCAAGCACCACGAGAATGAATTCAATTAATTCTCGGACGTTGTCCGGTGTTAATTAATGAATCGGCCACGTGACGAATGGAAAATGCATTTAGAAGAAAGAAAAAATGGAATATTTCATGGAATAAGTGTGGACCAACATATACACAATTCGACGGCGATAAATGAATAAATTGGGGATGAATATTTTAAGAATATTTAAAAGTGTCTCTTGTTCTATATAGTTTTGAAACGAGAGAATTGAAAGGAAAATCATAGAAAGCAGAGTAAGAGCTTGTAATTTTATTTTAATGTTAAAGAAGGTATAAAATTAAATAATCAGTACAAGATACTGCAATGATATTTTCATTATATTTCATATGCATGGAGCATTAGTATAGATATCTTATCTTTTGTATAATAATTTTTTTATATTTTATTGTAGCAATATTATGAAATTGAAGAATAACAAATGGAAGTTTCATTACTTTTATCCATAATCAAGAAAGAAGATTTCAATCATTAAAAGATTCTTTTGAAGTTCTTTTCAAATTCGTCTCAAATATCATATAAATTTCATCATCAAATAAATTTCTAATTCCAAAGAAGAGTCAAGAATATAATTCAATATGACACGAAGTAAACATAGATGAATTGATTTTCTATTTGGATGCTGCAAATAAATTTCCAATAATTTCAAAAAATAACCAAGAATGATAAAACGTAAGTGAGTTAACTTTGGCTTGAAAGAAATCAAAACAAAGATTATTGCAAATAATACCAAAAAAGAATTATAAATAATGGAGCTGACTTTCGGTTTGGAAGAAATTGAAGACGAAGATTATCCATTGTCGCGCGATGCTTGCGATAATTGGAGAAAAGAAACGAGAATAAAATGGAATGTAGATGGGTTGACTTTCGTGTTGGAAAAAAATCGATCGATCGGAAATTCCCGGAAGCGGAAACTCGTTCCACGCGCGAGCTCGCGGTACGGCTCGACAATTAACTCTCTGCCGGATTTTCCACCAATTTCCTGGCTGAATTAATCACCGCTGGCCGGTATCAACGCTCGAAATTTGGAGCGGCGCCGGTTAAACGCGATCCGGAGACGTAATTGCAACGAGCCGGATAGATTATGCGACTGTTCTGTACGCTGGCCACCTTTATTATACCATTCCCCTCGTCTCTTCACATCGATCTCCTCCACTTTCCAATCCAATTAATCAAAAATTTTCTTCGCCTCCCTTCTCTCACTCTCTTTCCTTCCTTCTTATGGACTTTTCAGCAATTTTGAAAGGAAGTGGAAAGAAGAAATGAACGCAGTGGAGAAACTGAAGCTATGATTCGAAGAGCTTGTTGCTTCTCTCCTTGAGGAATTTTTGAAAAAGTTGGTAAAAGGTATGAAGTATTCTTAATCTCGAAAGTTTCGTCCAATCTCGTTATTAAACTTAAATTTTAATTTTTATAAACAGGAGGATCCATCGACTTTTATCCATGAAATTTCATCACCGAGCCAATGAATGGATTCATCCCCATATCAAAAGAGCGATCCACTTGATCCAATGTTTGGTGTAATTCACGTATATTTATCTTCGACTTCGCTCGACAAATCCACTTTTCTACAAATTTTAATTGTCTCCGGAAAGAAAAGGAAAATTCCAAACTAAAAACTTCTCGCGAGTTGGAAAAAGTTTGTTCGATCCTCGAGAGATTCGATTTCTCTCGTACCAGGTTTCCACGGGGGAAAAATCGGAAAATTACTCGAGAGTCCAGTGATTCTCGACCACCTTGGCTCGGATCTTTAATTCCACTCCTGTTAATAATGCAAATGTCGTAGTCGAACTTGGAATTTCATTATCCGGCGAGATACTTTGTTTCGTTGCGTGAAAACGAGAGAAGGAGCGGAAGAGAAATAAAAGATTAGAATTTAATCAGAATTCTTCGATCGTCGTGTGGAAAAATTGTGATTTTGCATTATGTTCAAATCTTCCTTCGATTATCGATAAAGCGGAGAAACGAAATTGTTATTCGTCGATTTGGTTGTATCATAGTTGGAAAATTGTTATGTAAATTTATTCTATTGGATACGAAATACGTAATGTTTATATGTTATTGATTCTAGCGATAGAAACAAACACAAAAGATATATTAGTATATAGAAATATTGTGAGGCTTTATCGAGTTAAGAGAAAGGTATCTATGTTTCATCATATACATTTTCTAGACCCCACTTTTCGAAAATGTTCAATATCTTATGTACACTATTATCTCGATGAAAAATTCGTTATTTATTCAAAAGATTGCAAGATATTTACTAAAAGAATAATTAGTTACACGATTTAATAGAAAAAAAATTGCAATAATAATCGATATTAAAGACCACTCCACGAATTTTCCATCCATCAATGGTAATCTAAATTGTTAATTGATTAACAATTGTCACACTTTCGATAAATCTATTGCGAACTCGTCGAATTGGAAATTTAAATTATTCATAAAATGCAAATGGCAACAAGTTTCTTCGAAGCTCCCTCTGTTGAGAACTTAAGCCGGACGAGATCCAACGTGCGAGCTTAAGCGATCTTAACTGGTCGCCATTGTGCTGTTACGAATCCAATATGGCGTCGGTACGTATATAACCTTGGCGTATTCCACGGGTTGGACCAGTGATGAACCAGGGTCCACTCCAGAACGGGAGTTACGACATCCGTAAACTATTCCTCGACTTAGTCATTATGGGGGGGTTAGATTATTCCAAGTTCTAAGCCGAGTTGAGTTCTAAATTCACGATGGCGATATTCCTCGACCATAACCCGGCATGTTTAACTTGCGATAAGCCTGCATTATGCCGAAGCAAAGTTGCTTTAAGCGCCATTATGCTTGGAATTTAGATTACAGCTTGGCCAATTTAGGTTATGAAGCAATTTACCAAAAATTACACAGACGAAAATTGTGAGGGATTTTTGGATTTTTTTTTCCGAAATTCAAGAGAATTAGAAGAGAATTGGATGCGATATTGCGAGATACTTTCAATTTAAAAGATTGAAATGAGAAATTTCAGAGATTGTTTTGTAATACGAGAATATAGGGACAGAACTGGGCTAATTTATTATGATTGGAATTTGAATTGTAATGGCTGATTTAAAAAACAAATCTTATCAAAGGTAATTTTTTTAAATCGTATTGGATTTAATAAAAATTTCAGGGACGATAGTTATTTCTTTTAGAATTTTTTTTTTACACTTTTTTTTTCGATCGAAGATTCGAAATATTTCGAATTCGAATCCAATTCTTTGTATCGTATCGAATTTATTAAAAATTTCAAAGATAATAATTGCTTCCATAGAAAATTTTTTTTCACTATTGCGATACGAAAAAACACTGACTTTTAAAAAATTTTTTCCATCATTACGATCGAAGATTCGGAAGATTTCAAACTTGGTCCTATTCTTTTACATTTCGTCAAATATTTTAAAAATTTCAAAGATAATAATTATCCCCGTACAAAAAAATTGTTTCCATCAAAGATTCAATAAAATGACGCTTCCTTTCATTCGATTTTCCTATCTATCATCGAGAAAAAACAATTCATTCGCTCGTAGAAACTTATTCATTATCCAACTTATTTCGCCTTCCTGTCGATTCTCACTAACTTTTCGTGGGACTCGAATTATCTATGTCTCTTTCTCGCGGACCTTTCTTCCCTTTCATCGAGAGGACGTTAATAAAATTCCTGCAGTTTTCTCGCCGAACCAAGGGACAATTTACTCGGTTCTCGTGCTCCTGGCCTAATGGCTGTAATTAAAATCGAGGTTGTTTTAAGAGGCGGAGCCAGCTAGCCGGATTCCTTAGCCGGAACGCTCATAACCGGTGTAATATTTTGAACGGAGAAACGGCTGGGAACTGAGAAAAATTACCTCGTTACTCAGGTCTAGGTTATTCATCTTTAAGAGATGAGAGGAGGGAAGAATTAATTTACCTTCGGTGATGGATATTTTTTTAAAAGCCTTATTCAGATACGGTGGAACATTGTTTGTTAACCGTAAAAAGTATATGGATACGAGTAAAGAAATGGAAAATTCAATCTCGTTTTGGAAATTAAATTATATTTGATCGAGATTATTGACATTTGCAACGTAAAAGATAATATTTGATCGAAATATCGTAAAAAATTTATTTACTTCGTTACGATCGAACATACTCTTTTGTATCTCGTCAAATATTCTAAAAATTTCAGAGATGATAGTTCAGAATATCCGGTAGAAAAATTTTTTCCATCATTGCGATCGAAAATTTGGAAAACTTTGACTTTCGAAATTTTTTTTTTAAATCGTCTCGATCGAAATTTCGAAAGATTTCGAACTTGAAATTTTTTATATCTTATTAAACATCCAAAAAATTTTTTATTAGAGATAATAATTATTCTTATAGAAAATTTTTTTACACATTGCTAACGAAAGATTCGAAAGATTTCTAACTTGGATAAAATCTATTGCAGAAGATTTCTCTGATGACACGCCTGATTCCATCGATTCAACGATCAAAATCCATCTCTTCTCATCCTATATGTCCAAGGTTTCCAAGATGAGAAACTCGATCGATTGCGACGAAATTTCATCGCAAGAAAAGAAGATACGAAGCGTGAACAAGGTTATCAGCCGGTTATCGCGTTTTCCACCAACGAATCGAATAAGAAAGGAAGGAAAATTGCTTTCGAATTTCTGCTCGTTTTAAAATTCAATTCTCATTCTCGATATCTTCGAGGCAAAGTAGAGACGACACAGGTCTCGTTTCGTTGAGGACGGACCTGAATATGAGTCCATTGTTGCAGATTATTATGGAGGTTGCGCGCGCCATCTGGTTACAGAATTTTAGTCAAGGCATGTCGTAAAGACAAGGTTGTTTGAGTTGAAGCTCATCATCGTGCTCGTAGACGATGAAATTCAAGTAGTCACGGTGTGTCTAAACGTTCCAGTCTGGAACTGTGATTACTTCCTCCAAGGATATTGTCGAGAGACTGGAACTCATGAAGATGATGGAATTTTTCTTGTTCTTTCTAATAATCGAAGAAGAGGAGATGTTTGTACGTTTATGAAAGATTCTTAAATCGATAGAATTATATTGCATTTGGAGAATTTTGATAAAAATTTGAATTTACGAGAACGATTTTTTTTATATTTAAAAGATGAATGAGCGAAATAAATAATTGAAAAAATTGCGAATATTTCAATGGATTTTAATGAAAATGCTTGGATTCGAAGTAACCATAATTATTTAATTTTTTATAAAAAATTATATAATAATATTTTTAATATTGAAATTGAATTTTTAATTTTTAATTTTTTAATTTTAAAATTGAATTTTTTCGAGAAATTAGAAGAATAAAACTAAATTACTTATAAAACAAAAAAAAGTTGTAATTAGTCAGAAACATAAAAA